GTGATACATATCATCATTATTATATAGTTTTCGGTAATGAAAGTGCCAAAGGGCCTAATGAAATATCCTAATGAAAAATCTAAGAAATAGTAATGAAAGTGCAAAGATCCTAATGAGAAGTGATGAAATGGTCCAGATGCCCCAATGAAATATCCCAATGAAAAATGGTAATGAAAGGGCCAGATGCCCCAATGAAATCTCCCAATGAAAAATCTAATGAAATGGTCAAGGAGTGTAATGAAATATCCTAATGAAAGTGCCAAGAAGCATTCTAATGAAAATTCAATGAAATGGTAATGAAAGGGTCAAGGAGCTGAATGAAATATCCCAATGAAAATTCCAAGAAAACCTAATGAAAGTGCCAAGGAGCCTAATGAAATATCCTAATGAGAAATATAAAAAATCGTAATGAAAAAGCGCAGGAGCCTAATGAAATATCCTAATGAAAATTCTATGAAATGGTAATGAAAAAGCAAAGGAGCCTAATGAAATATCCTAATGAAAATTCTACGAAATGGTAATGAAAAAGCACAGGAGCCTAATGAAATATCCTAATGAAAATTCTACGAAATGGTAATGAAAAAGCACAGGAGCCTAATGAAATATCCTAATGAAAATTCTAAGAAATGATAATGAAAAAGCGCAGGAGCCTAATGAAATATCCTAATGAATTCTAAGAAATGGTAATGAAAAAGTGCAGGAGCCTAATGAAATATCCTAATGAAAATTCTAAGAAATGATAATGAAAAAGCGCAGGAGCCTAATGAAATATCCTAATGAAAATTCTAAGAAATGGTAATGAAAAAGCGCAGGAGCCTAATGAAATATCCTAATGAAAATTCTAAGAAATGGTAATGAAAAAGCGCAGGAGCCTAATGAAATATCCTAATGAAAATTCTAAGAAATGGTAATGAAAAAGCGCAGGAGCCTAATGAAATATCCTAATGAAAATTCTAAGAAATGATAATGAAAAAGCGCAGGAGCCTAATGAAATATCCTAATGAAAATTCTTTTGAAATGGTAATGAAAAAGCGCAGGAGCCTAATGAAATATCCTAATGAAAATTCTTTTGAAATGGTAATGAAAAAGCGCAGTAGCCTAATGAAATATCCTAATAAAAATTCTATGAAATGGTAATGAAAAAGCGCAGGAGCCTAATGAAATATCCTAATGAAAAGTCTCAGAAATGATAATGAAAGGGCCAAAGAGCCTAATGAAATATCCCCATGATATCTCATTATCCTTGTCTATAACTTATGAAAGATTCCAGTGATAAATTGAATGAAATAGATGGGCAATCCTAATGAGATGCCTTTCATAAAACCTGTGGCATTATACACAATGGCTCTTGGACAGTTGTCATAGATTAATCATAAAAGTGGTAGCCACCAGTCGTTCAGTGGCAATCCAATCCCGAATCCTGAGGTCTTTGATACCCGGGATTATCATTGTGACCTGTTTCTCAGCAGGAATGGACTTCGAGATGAAGAAGTCGAGCGCCGCATTTTCAAAATCCATCATCACAGCTGGGGAAACATCCCCTTCAGTCAAGACAGGCGCCTTGGCGCTGGTGGGCTCTACTGTTGCAAGTGTGGACATTGTGTGATGATGTTTTTTGTGGATATATGCGGGTTTTTTGTGGATATATGCGTCTTCTTCGGAGTCTGAAGAGTCGGATGAGAGTAGGAGCGGTGGAGATGGTGATGGGAGTGTTAAAGGTGAAGACGGTTCGTGAAGAGATAGAGGACGGTTATTTCTAGAACGCGTAGTGCTGGTCAAACCATTAAGGAGAGGGAGTTGTTGAGCAAGTGCGGTGGTACAGGTGAAGCGAGGCAGTTCCAGCGTTACGGTTGGCATGAGCGCGTCCCAAAAGGGGTTCACGGATGACGGCGGTATAGGGGTACAGGTAAGTAACCCTCCACTAATCAGACAGTTAAAAGCGTGTCACAATGGACAAGCACGACAGTTTATGTACAGAGATGATGCGATAACGCGTCAAGCAAACACCTAGTGGGAATTCCAAAAGGGCATGCCTATATGCGCGAAATACACGTCAGAATCTAAAACGGTGGCGATATTTCAAAAAAAGTGGAAATCTACCCGGAGGGGTAGATAACACTGCTCACAAGACAAACCAACAGAAATAAACCACGTCTATGATTCTGGAGGTTCTAGAGGGAAAGTATGGGTACAGGAGAGTAAGATGCGTATGGGAAGATGGTGGTAAGAGTCCAAGCGCGGAAGCGCACAGGAAGAAGTCACTTTATCTGTACCAATTTACGGGGGTACCGTAAATTTTGTAAAATCGCCATTTGCCAGATTCTTTGCTCGACGTCCCTGACGGCCCATCAATCCACTCGTCACCCCCTGCACCAAGCCTGCACATCTCCACTCGCCCAGCGGTCCGCTCCTTACTCATTTCCACTGCCAAACACAGCTGCATCGGCCTCCACCGCCTCGAAATCGCCTTCTAGGCCCCGCTTAGTTAAGACGCTATGATGATGGAGAAGGCCAAAGCCGCCACTGTTAATGGAGCGTAGATGGGGAGAGTCTGAAAAGGAGACCCAATCCT